ACTTCACAGATTATGAAGGGGCAATTCAAAGGTGTAAGAATATATTACAGTATCTGGGACGCCACATCAATCCATCAAATGCATGTCTCAAATCATGTCCACAAGTTGTTTTCAAAAAACTTCGAAATATCAAGTTTCTGCCAGTGCTTCTATGTCCCGAGAGCTGGAAGTTTGTTTGGAAGGCGAATGAAACAGATTGTGCTCTGTCAGCCCCTAATGAAACATTTCGAGAGGACACAAGTAATTTGGTTGGATGTACTCAACTTATTTTAGATGAAACTCAACTGCGCTCAGACATATCTGACAAGAAAATGACTGATGTTCTTCACTTACTTGGTGTGAAGAGCAGAGATGACATTACAGTCAAAAGTGTTACCTTACAACTGCTTTCTATTTCGGAGGCTTTACAAGACAGTGGGCTAGATCTAGAAATGCCTGACTGTGAACTCAACAAAATATGTACAGAAATTTACAGTCACATGAACACATTGTATCAAAATAGTTCCAGTGAAGATAAGAAGAAGTTCAAAAGATATGTGTCAGAGCACTTGCATGGAATACAGACAATCTTGGTAGGGAACAAACTGGTGAAACCCAAACAGGTAGTTCTCCACAAGCAAAGAAGTAGGAATCCAGGCATGTATACACTGGACCAAAGTTTTGAGGAATATTTGCAACTATTTGAACTATTTGAATTATGGAACAATACCAAAGTTTTGGGATGTTGTTTTGCAGTGATGTGTCTTGTTTTGGTCTTTGCACTTTATTTTGGTTTATAAATACCATTATGCAATATTGTAATGTGATATCTATAGACTTCTGTTACACCTCATTACGCTGAGTTTTCTTGTCAGTCTGGTTGATTGTAGAGTTTCAATGTTGTACACTCTCAGAGACTATACACCATCATATACTGTGGTACATTATAGAGCTCAGTCCAGGGAACACTGGCCCTAGATCCGCTCACCAGGAGCACTCCTAAGATTTCTGCTTGTGTTTATGAACCTATCACCATGCGGCTTTATCTTTGCTTGTATCATCCAAGAATTGGTAATCCTGCTGCTCTGTATTAACACTGTTAGAATCTTGGAGAAAACCTACAATGACAGACACATTGAGGTCAAGATTGCAGTGGTGCTCCATTGTGGAGGAAATGATTTTGTTGAAATACTACCCATGACAAACTGCTTAAAACATTCACTTGGTAAGATTAAGAGAGCAAGACTAAGCTGGAAAGTTTCACTTGAATGTAAGAACAAGGAGAAAGTCTAAAGACAAATATTTGTGGTGAGATGCAATTGCCAAACCCACGGAATTGGTTACCCCTTGCTTCAGATGTGGTGACACTTGCTGTTCCAGATTAAATACCTCAAATCTGTTGCCCGGCTGCATAAAGTAGACTTGAATAAACTTTCTGTCCAAACATTGCTTCAGACAAACAGCAACTGGAGAACTTGAGTACCATTTTGGACCAGAATCTCACATGACTGCTAGGCAGTTCAATGCTGCTGGAGAAAATGCAAACATGTGGAAAATGAATGCAACTCCATAGAAAGTTTGAAGGAAAAAGAGGCAGTTCACTTCACCCCCTGTTTAAACATTAAACATAAGTCTGTTGAACCTGATCTATAAATGTGAACATCCATATCTTCTCACATCATGAAAACCTATATAAGAAAGCTGTGGCCATGACTGTGTTCATTAAAGATGTGTGCAGGAGGAGGGACATCAGTACAGGAACACCTGATGTACGTTTTATGGACACTATACTTACATCGGTATGGGTAATACATACAATATGTGTGTCTATGTATGCTTGGGAACTGTATCCATGTGAAGCAAAGAAATGTGCAGGATTCACATGCACATTGAATTATTATTGCATTGCTACCCCAATATATTTATGTGTATATCCTAAGAAATGTGATGTTACAAATAGAAGATGTATCAAAATTAGGGTAGATTTATTTGTTGTATGTTCTATGATGATTATATGAAATGTGTAAATCCAACTATTTACTGACATTTATTTAAGTGAGTTGGTAGTTTTAAGCTTGAAAAATGTCCATAGATTTCATTAAATATTTGAGTAATTTCAATAGATTTTTATGACAATATTTTGATGCACTAAATTTAGCATTTGAATATCATGTATGAATAGTTCATATGCTGATAAATGTTTTGTGTCAAAATTGCAGATATTATATTTCTTAGATGAAATAGAGAGGTGGACTGGTGTTTATTCTCCAAAAACTATATAATTTTGAAAGAAATACCAGAGTGAAAATTGAAGAAGAGCCCCTGCAATATGAGATATTTTGATTCAGATTCAGGGATTTACTCTTTTCCAAACAAGCTCTGCCTTGTTGAACAGCAGGGGGAATCCCCATCAAGTGTCATCCGTGATCACAGTGTCCTTATGCTTACCCTTGCAAATACATGTGTGTAAATGTGTACGTACAATTACGTACGTCAGTATACAGCAATTACGTGTAATGAAGTTCACTTAATAATGTACTCAAAACAGCAGCATCTCTTTTCAAGAAATTGAACACAATAATCAATTTCTAGACCCTTCTTGTCATCAATGTTTTGAAAAACTTTAAAGGATTAACCAATAATACACTGATTGATTAATTGCTGTTATCTTGCACAGTTGATTTATCAAAAGTTTTTATATGTAGTTTGACTAAAGCAGACAGGAATACACACACATCTTGGCACCTGTGTAAAGGCAACACTTTGTTCAAGGGGTTTGCTGATAAATGATTGATTGTTCACTGTTGTGTAACTATAGAACCATAGATATCATGAACCAGAGACCATATACATGTCACATGTGCTGTCGCAGCAGACCAGTGAGACATGACATTCATATTAAACAGCTAAAACAAAGTCAGTTAGATATGAACACGGGTTGAAACGTTTTATATTATTTTAAATATTATTGTTACAAAGACACATGACATTGAACGAATTTCTTTGTACAGCATCTGATGTATGGGATGTTGTTCCTGTGTTCCTCAAACATGGTAACTGCCTGATATTATACTTATAACTTTGGGGCTAGATTTCTCTTCTGTCGCCAATGGCTGAGGGGATGGTGTAAATCCAACTAGGGTCCATGCAGGTAGCAAAAGTAATGTAAGTCCCCATGGTCCCTGGTATGGTGATCTACCTTCAGTTATTGGCGATTTATAGCCCATTTTTATACTGTATTGTTTTTCCCCTATAGTTAAAACGTTTTAGATTTAATTACTAGTTTTACATACATATCTGTGATATTCAAGTTATTTTACTGTCCTTCGTCGGCATGTTTTTTATAATATACATATATTTCATTTCAATATCAAATATTCTCATCACGATATGGCTGAAATATTGCCGATGTGACGTTAAATATTAACTCACTCACTCACTTATAACTTTGGTTGTAATTATGACTTTGGTTTCATTCATTTGCTGTATCAGGAATGCATGTCACCACAGTGGTTACTGCTCAGACTGTTCCATATGTACAGATTATCCAGCAATAGCAACCAGCCCTTCCAAAGTACTATTATTTTATTAGATATATTTAGTAAAAGCTGCAACTAAAATAACTTAATATTGGGATATGCAATTTCTAATAAAATAACATTTTCACTTTCACTTAGTATTGTCTCAAACATTGTTATCTGTTAACGGTAAGGTAAATTGATAATTTTGGCCTAATATTGTGTTCAAGGCACAGAAAGTTTGTTCACTAAAGGTTCGTTCTTCTTTCAGTCAATTGATTACTTCTACATCTAGTATTGTAAGAAATATCAGGAAGAAAAGGATAAAGAAAAATAAAATATTTCATGGTTGCTTTGTTGATTGTATAATATTGAAAACATTAAATTCTTCTGCCACATACAATTACACATGTATATATAGATAAGTCATATGGCCTTCGGTCTCTCTGATGACTAAGGACAGCTCAGAGGTCCAGAGCAGCATAGCATTATTAAGTCACCTAAGTAAATACACTAGAATTTCTTTCTGTATGTTAAAGAAAACAAAACAAATTTCACGTTTAAGTTATGTTTACATTATGACAACGTTACGCAAACTCAAGGCTGCTGAAACCTAGAACGGTTTCAGTGCTATTTGTTGATTGTTCTGTGATCGGTTACTGTACAGATATAATTTATTTGTATACTGGCTTATTTCTGGATTAACGTTTCAACGTGTGACGCAACAAAGTGTGTACAATGTATACTCGTTTGGTACTCATGCTCGTGATGTAAGAAATATTTATCACCTGAAAGAACCGAGCGTATATAACACGTACTGCCGTGAATTCCTCACGGGCAGTTTGATTCGTTGATTGACAATGCGTCAACAAAGACAAGCGTTGGATTCGTATCAGTTAAATATATTTAAAAGGACATTTATTTAAAGATTCAAATGACCTTTTATTTGACTCTGTAGCATCGACTTTATATTTGTCGGTCACTTTTCACTGGAACATTGTCTAAACCAGTACCTTATAAAGACTTGTTGATGTGTGACGTAGTTAGCTGTCTCGCGACACGAGTGACCAGGTCAGTTACGAGGTCACGTCCAGACAGCCCCATATCACTCAAAAGGTCACTGTATATTTTAAAGGCATGCAGTCTTCATTTATAGTTAAAGTGAGTGAGTTTTGTTTTACGCCACACTCAGCAATATTCCAGCTATATGGCGGCGGTCTGTAAATAGTCGAGTCTGGCAAGACAATTCAGTGATCAACAGCATGAGCATCGATCTACACAACTGGGAACCGATGACGTGTCAACCAAGTCAGCGAGCCTGACCACCCGATCCTGTTAGTCGCCTCTTACGACACGCATGGGTTACTGAAGATCAATTCTAACCCGGATCTTCACGGGTATTTATAGATAGAGCTAATGCTTGCTGTGCGTTGTGATTCACTATTCACATATCGGACGTGACTGGCCTACGAACATGACATATGTCACCTGAGTTGATTACAATAATTGATAAACAGTTTATTCATTAACCTTTAACATCAATCAGCTTAACAGACTCCGCCCAAATCACACGACAACCGCGCGATCTATCGACGCTTTGTTGAGCAACTAAATGCAAAGTGGTCCTGAAAATATTGCTTGTAAATGTCTTTTTGTGTGGATTATCTCCCTTGGTTCACGTCGCGTCGTTAAGCAGCCCCTGTTCCTTGGCAACGCCCAAAACGACAGTGTTCATGACAGCCAGGAGCTTGTCCCAAGCCTCGAGGAGGGCCGGTGTCGCTTCGTCTCCAAGACTCTTCTTCAGGAACGGTATAAACATTGTCCTCAACTCCTGCAATAGGAAGCAAACATCAGCATCGGCGGGTGAGGTGAGGTGGGCTACTATTAGTGATGATGTACATGTACGAGTCTGTCTTCTAGTCCCTGAACCATATTATTTTCCCTACTTCCTAGTCCTCCCTGTAATATCAAAGCTCTAAATGAAGCAAGTCTAGATTTCCTCAGGTTCAAGAGTCTCCCATCTCCTTAAAATGGGTATATATGTTGATGAAAATTGTATATATTCAGGGACTAAGCGTTAGTCTAATGATACACATGAGCTTGTATGTGTGTGCGTGTGTGCGTGCGTGCGGATGTCGGTACTAGTCAGGATTAACGCCGATTTGATAGTACTGTGATATCATCCCACAGTTTATCATAGACACCGTAACAACAAGTACCATCGTTTAACGTCGGGTATGGCACAGCCGGAGATTGAACCCCCAACATGAGGCTCTACCCACCCACCCACTGAGGCACTTCCTGCATCAACAAGTGGACGAAGCTATAGGACCTTCCCGCATTAACAACGACAGTCATACAACAACCAATATTGGTGTGACAGTTGCCCGAAGCTTTCAATGTTATGGGGGCGGTGGGGTAGCCTAGTGGTTAAAGCGTCCGCTCGTCACGCCGAAGACCCGGGTTCGATTCCCCACTTGGGTACAATGTGTGAAGCCCATTTCTGGTGTCCCCCGCCGTGATGTTGCTGGAATATTGTTAAAAGCGGCGTAAAACCAAACTCACTCACTTTCAATGTTATGGATATTGGACACAAACATCTAAGATTTATGACGCATCATGTAAATAGCCTGTGTGACCAACAGCCCCTGCTTCAACACTCAATAGGGGCGGTGGGGTAGCCTAGTGGTTAAGGCGATCGCTCGTCACACCGAAGACCCGGGTTCGAATCCCCACATGGGTACAATGTGTTAAGCCCATTTCTGGTGTTCCCCGCCGTGACATTGCTGGATTATTGCTAAAAGCGGCGTAAAACCAAACTCACTCACTCACTCAACACTCAATAATCAGTTTCTTCTGGAGGGCTGGGATTAGTTCTTGTCGGTTTGCTCGAGGATGTAGCTGCTGTCGAACATGAGGATCCATGACAGAGGTGTTCTTGAGAGATGTGTGACTGGAGAGCTTGCAGGTTACGGCAACACCGGGGCGGTGGGGTAGCCAAGTGGTTAAAGCGTTCGCTCGTCACGGAGAAGACCCGGGTTCGATTCCACACATGAGTATGATATGTGAAGCCCATTTCTGGTATACCCCCGCCGTGATATTGCTGGAATATTGCTAAACGCGGCGTAAAACAATGCTAACTCGCTCACTTAAAGTTATGTCGAATTCGGGCTGCAGGGGGTCTGGCGTTGTCATGGAAGCTGTTGTAGAAACAGTACAACAATAGGACAAATAAATGTCATCCATGTTACGCTGAACAGTCAAGTGTCCGTTAACGAGGACAAGTAGTCATGACCCAGAAATTCGTCCCCACTGCACAACACCCCCTCCACGGTAGACACGACCTGAATACAACACCCCCTCCACGGTAGAAACGACCTGAACTCAACACCCCCTCCACGGTAGACACGACCTGAACACAACACCCCCTCCACGGTAGACACGACCTGAACTCAACATGCCCCGTTCTTCCACTTCGGTTGTAAACATACTGACTGCCATTAGCTTTGAAAAGACAGAACCGTCTTTCATCACTGAAGACGACCCTCTGCCAGTCACGTCGCTGTCAACGACGTACAGTTGTACGATGTTGCGCTGTCAAAACATGTCCTCTGTAAGTTTGTAAGTACCAAGTCCGTGAGCCTAGAGTCGACTGGTCACTGTCTGTCGACTAACCGTATGACGTCTTTATCAGAAATCGATTCCCGAGATGCAAAGTACGCATCTACTTGACTATCTGAGGTGTCCCCGGTCTGTCGGGTTAGGTGCAATATTACGGAAGCAACCGGAAGTTCCAGCAAATTGGGCAATGACGGTCTCATCTGTGACAGTCAATTCAGTGGTGGTGTTCTCATCAGTTTAAGTGTCCCACTCGCCGTCTGAGCAATTTATTTATTCTTTTTGCACTTTCAGTTTCCCAGGCGACGCGTGTTTTCTTTTTGTTTTATACTTTCTGCAGAAAAAATAACAACCTCCTCTAAAAAGGCCATGAAAACCCCGTGCCGCCGCCATATATTTTGAGTATTGTTGCTTTTGCATTGATTTTGTGTGAACTTGTGTTTTATAAATTGTTCATTTTTCGTTTTAAAATGGTAAACTATTCTATATCTACCGGTCACTATTGTACAACTATATTTCACTCACTAGTAGCTAGTCGATGATTTTCCCCGGGTTCAACAAATTCTCTGTGTGCATGTGAAAGACTAAATAGTTCATCCTGTGTCGTTATAATTGGTTAACCAAATTATTTTTTTATATAATTTTCACCCAAAACGTTTTTTAACGTTGTTAATGTTGACGTATTTAGATAAGAAAAGCTTTTATATATATTTTTGCGTTTACAGAGTTACAGGAGAGGAGAACGGTATGCACACTTTTGGTAAATCCTTTACGCGGATTTATGTCAACAGTGTGAACATTAATAATAAAAAACCGCAACATTCCCTCAAAGCAAAATAAAATAATAAATGAAAATTATTGATAATAATATAGACGCTTAAATATGATGTAATTGTTATTGACCCGCGCAGGACAGTTAAATATTAGTTTAAATTAAAGAAATGCACAAACTACAACCAAGTGAATGTACATACGAGTCCAACCCACAGGAAGATACGGGTCAGAAACCTCAGCAACCCATACTTGTCGTTACAGACGAATATCGGGATTGGATGGTCAGGCTGTCTCTCTTGTTTGATATGTTATTGTATCCAAATTGCTTGATTGCTCACGGTGTCGACTGTGCACAAACTGATGTATTATATAGAGATAATTGTACAGAGAATTAGACTAACAACTAGTCTCTGAGATGAATGTGTGTCATACTGAAAGTCAGGGGGCAATAGTAATAGTCCGCTTATATGGCGCTCATATCCAGGCACATTGCCTGCTCAAGGCGCTACGTACATTTACTATCCCCGGTCATAGGGCACTATCGTACTTTCCCATACTTTTTTCAACTCCCTGGGGATCATACAGTCATGCTGCCTGTTAGGCGCAATGAACTAAGCACTCACATTGCCAGCACATCCTCACGGGTACCCATTTTACAGCTGGGTGAACTGAGACAATGTGGATTTAAATATATTGTCAAAGGATACTACACAAATGTGCCCACCTCGGGGTCCGAACCTAGGTTCCTTCACCGGGGATCGAACGTGGGGCCTTCAGCGTGATAGGCAGACGCATTACCACTGCACTGTTCGCTCGACAATAATTTACACACCGGGTTCTACCTAATACTTATGTATCCTTTATTTACAAGAACGCACTGATCACTTCCGGAAGCCTCAGTGCGTTCTTGTAATGGTATGACGTCAACAAGCTTCAGCTATGACGGTGGTTTCTATAGTGACGCGATTCCGATCTTTCGTCACAATAAGATTCTAAGGACGTCAACAATGCCGTCTTGGTGACGGTAAAACTCAGGTCGACGTGACGTGATATTTGCACACACGATCTTTATCAATTCAGTTATTCATAACCATATGGCTGATATATCTGGGAGAGTGCTTAGATCTGCATTAAACAACCAACAACGAAACGAACAAACCTCAAACTCCTTCATTCTGATTCCCCTTTTGAGGTGGTTGTTCGCCACCTTCTCTATCAGAGCCACCAAGCACTCCGGATCATCCAGGTTACTCACAAGAGACCCTATCTGATACATGACGGTGGTTGCATGGGCACGCATCTTAGAACTTGTCGCCAGTTCTTCTACAGACTTGTCGTGGAACAAAGGAAAAAATCCCTGTTGGTCGGGATAAGCTGTGAAGAGGTCCAGAAATAACTGTACTCCATTCTTCTTCTGCGTCTGACGTGAGCCGATAATCTCCCAGCTTTGTATTATCAGGTTCTTCTGACGGAGGGTGAGTCCGGTGGCAGGGTCAACGACTGAGTCGTCGTCTGCTGCAACGTTGTTGTTCGCCGTGGTGTCACCCATCGTGTAGTCGGTAGTCTGCAACAGTTAGTGCTGAATTGAGAAGGGTATCTCGTCATGTATATCACATTCACCTTCACCCGTGAACATCCGGGTTAGAATTGGTCTTCAGCAACCAAAGAGGCGACTAACTTGGCACCCGGCACGATAGATTGCTCGTCATATACAAACCACCTAGCTCGACATAACCTGGGCATATGTCTGCACATATTCAATACACTGTCTCGAAATAGACAGGCCCCATTTATTGCTCGACATATACAGGAGACGTTCCTTATTCAGGACACGTTGCTCGACATACAGGACACCTTGCTCGACATATACAGGACACGTTCCGTTGTTATGCAAGACACGTTGCTCGACATATACAGGACTAGTTCCTTATGACACCTTGCTCGACATATGCAGGACACTTGCTTGTTCGACACATACGACGGACACCTTGCTCAACGACACCTTAGTTCGACATATACAGGACTAGTTCCTTATGCAAGACACGTTGCTCGACATATACAGGACACCTTGCTCGACGTATGCAAGACACGTTCCTTATGCAAGACACGATGCTCGACATATAAAGGACACGTTACTTGGCATATACAGGACACCTTGCTTGACGTATGCAGGTCACATTACTCCTCATATATAGGACACGATGCGTGACACCTACAGTGTACGTTACTCGACATATACAGTACATATTGCTCGACATATACAGGATACATAGCTCGACATACAGAGCACACATTTTCTATATAAACAGGACACTTTGCATAAACTACATAAACTCGGCGAATTTCTCGACATATAGAACATACATTGCGCTATATGTACAGAATACATTGCTCGACATGTACAGAATACATTGCTCGACATGTACAGAATACCATTGCGCTACGACATGTACAGAACACACTGCTCGACAGATACAGAATACATTGCTCGACATATACCGGACACACCGCTCGACATATACAGAATACATTGCTCGACACAGAATACATACAGAATACACTGCTCGACATATACAGGACCCGCTGCTCGACATATACAGAATACACTGCTCGACATATACCGGACATACTCTTTGCTCGACATATACAGGACCCGCTGCTCGATATATACGGAATGCTCAATGCTCGATATATACCGGACACCCTGCTCGACAGATTCATATACAGCTCACATATGCTCGACATATACTGGACCCGCTGCTCGACAAATACAGAATACACTGCTCGATATATACAGGACCCGCTGCTCGACATATACAGAATACACTGCTCGACATATACCGGACATACTCTTTGACAGATTCAGAATATATTACTCGACATATACAGGACCCGCTGCTCGACATATACAGAATACAATGCTCGATATATACCGGACACCCTGCTCGACAGATTCAGAATACATTGCTCGACATATACCGGACACTGCTCGACAGATTCAGAATACATATTACAGAATACATGTGGCATTTCCAGGACATATAGCTCTACATATACTAAACGTATTTCTTGACATATAGAACACAGATTGCTCGACAGATATAAGCACTCAAATATTGCTGCTATGGCAACAGCAATATTACAACTGTTCATCTAAAGGGTGTAAGGAGACACCAGATTGGGATTAAGCACAGAATAGAGAGAATGGGCTTTATTAATACAGTAAGTTACATACTGTACAGTTAAGCTAACAATCAGCTCATTTACACGAAGCAAAGCCATAGAACAGATTAAAGTTGTGACGAACCTAAATTATAGTAATTATAATTATAATAAAACAAATAAATCACCCATATGAACTATTTCACAAAAAGGATACACGATCATTTGAATAGTTTAAAGTAAAACGTGTATATGGCAACTGTGATGAAAAATAATTTTGCCAGTAATGTTTCACGTCTTACGACAGTACAAGTCAGCCTACAGTATTAATGAGTGAGTGAGTGAGTTTAAGTGAGTTTAGTGAGTCTAGACCAGACAATCCAGTGATCAACAGCATGAGCATCGATCTGCGCAATTGGGAACCGATGACATGTGTCAGCCAAGTCAGCGAGCCTGACCACCCAATCCCGTTAGCCCCTTCTTACCACAATCATGGGTTACTGAAGATCAATATTCTAACCCGGACCTTCACGGGTACTACAGTATTAATCCCCGAAGCTCATTAGGAGGGGGTCTTGGCCCTGGGGACAATGCCCTCCTTCGTCAGGCAGTTAATTGAAAACCTAGGGCTTCTGCAAATGATAATGCCCTGAGAAACAGCGTTACCCCTATAGTATGATGAAATGTGAGTTTCTCTAACACTGACACACCACTCCTAGGGACGGAGTAAACGTTTTAATATTAACATGATTAACACTTGCATTCCTTTTTTATTTTTGCCGATTGTGAGGTCCAATCACGGTGTTCTTTTATTGACAAATGTTTTCAAATTCTGATAGTATTGTATATGGAATTTGATAAGATTGTCTTCCCCTGCACCGACGAGGGGGCTAACCAGCTAAATACATGTTTATGCTTTCCATCATCAACAATGAGTCTTCTCGGTTTCTCCCCATCTCACTATCAGCTCTCCCCACGAATACCAGGAATTGCCAGATACCGTTATCATTATTCCACTGGGAAAGGTTTGTGTGAAATGAATATATGTTCTAATCTGTTGTATGTCGGGTGATGTAAACCAGCTTTGCGTGCAAACACTGAGATTTGGAACTAAGTTTTGGAGACGTTTATGTTTGATAAGCACCTTATATGCCAGTCCACTATACCAGATAGTGCCCCTTTATAGCTCAGCTAAAATGAATGGAGGTGTTATCGCCCTAGGAATGTGTTCGGTTTGTAAGTATGTGGCACCGTCTAGCTTCCGGGTCTTTCACATTTTGAAAAAAATAATTCATAAGCAATCCAGTGCTTTCAGTTAGATCGAGAGGGGCTTGTATGTTGGAACCGTCCATGAAACCTTTATACCGACAATAGGATATTGTCTGTGGTCAAACATAATTTAGTATGTGTTTTTCTATGATTTAAGCATTTTAGGAAGTGATTTTATGGCCAAGCAAGCGAATGAGTAAAACTTGATCGTAGCTTTTTCACATTTAGTGATGTAATTGTGTGCGAATGTGCACGGTAATTTGGATAACTCATGATGTTTAGGGGATAATTGTATTGTATTTGACGAAATCGGACGTATAACGGTGGTTATATAGCCGCTAATTTAGTTATATTGGCGACGCGTAAGGTTTTGGTGAATCGGTTTTCAAATAGTGACCGTATATGCTGATTATACGGTCAGAAATTTATAGCATGACCAATCAGAACTCGTGTTACATACTAAGATGAATTAGAATTATGTTTAATGACACTTTCTGAAACAATATAATGTATGGTTCGTTTATCGATTTGTCAAATTTAATGCTTAAAACACATTCGATTTGTAGGAAACGTTATTTAAATATATATTCATCTATGTTTTAGAATCATTCATATGAAGACACAAAACCGAAAATATTCAGTTTGACGGAAAATATATTCATTATAAAGAACATAAACACATATCGACTTAAACAATGCAAGTTGTCCTTGTTTAGACGAATACAAATAAAGGGATGTTTCGTGTGATATTCCGAAAATGGTTGGGTTGGTAGTTACGCATACAGTCCGGGTTTAGTTTCCGAATACTTTTGAAAAAAGGTATAAGGCTAAAATTTGCACAAGATAGTTCAAGTCGTCTTACTTGGAAACCTGAATGCTTGTCAAACAATCCTTCAAATCTGTGATCTACATCATCATAACAGCTCGGTTTCCAAAATAAGTGAAAAGATTAAAGATGCTGAAGCAGCGTTAAGCAACATTCACTCACTCACCCAAGTGAGCGTACGGAAGTATTTACCAAGTTCAATCAAAGTCTGACAACTAAAATCGCTGGGTTTGCCGAAAGACATCTGAAACTGGTCGCCGCGAATAGCTGCATTTACTCACTCACTCTGGAACTGGGTTGTGAGGAACTCACAAACGACTGTCATCATTATATAGGTCTTAAAGCTATGGTCACCTGGGGCCAGGACTTTCATCTCGGATGAGGCTGTTACAGATACGGGTTGAGGGCCGTCCGTCGTCTTCAACGTCCTTAACGCTGTAAACCTGTCACCCTTACCATATCAGGGCCGCGGAGGGTCTCTCGTGGGCTTGGTGCTAAATCTTATCTGACAGTAACTGACCACGGGTCGAGGGGTGTTGTATTAGGGCTTCACATGGCTGTACTATACACTGACAGGTATATATAGAGAGCCGGACACCTGGGTGTGGGAAGACACGACTCTCAGGGGCATGTCGGGCACCTGCGCTGGAAATGCTACAGCGCCCGCGTCTGTTTGAGTCCCGGGATGATGTTTTTGTGAGTAATTATGTTTTACGCCGCTGCAATGACTGTTTTATGACAGTGGAATGTATGCATTGTTTTAAAACATCACCGGGACTGATTAAACAGAAAGATCACATCAGAGTCAGTTGATTTTACACATGGAATCCGCACCAGGAAAACTATCATCAAATTCATGTTGTTCCATAACTGTTTCCTAATGACGGTATGTGAATGATTAATCATTGGAATATAGTGGTCGATAACATGAACACCGTCGCATATAGTCAACCTTCTTGCACATTGTAACCCCTAATCTCCTCGGGCGGTTTCCGCGAGTTAGTGAGTGAGTATGGTTTTACGCCACTATTAACAATCTTCCAGCAAGATCACGGCTGGAAACACCATTGTACCCAAAGTACCCCGGAGTGTTCGGCGTTACGGGCGAACACATGAAGCACTAGGCTACCCCACCGCCCCTTCTTAGTTGACCCACGGCGGTTCAGGCTAGTTTGGGAGGGTCAGCCAAAATGTTGCAAGTCTTACAGAAACGCAAACGTTTGCAGACAAACCATAGCTAGTGATTAACCATCCGCCAAGGGATGTAACTCTGTACAGCGAATCAAAATCACACTTAATCCATACTT